TTTAACATACAAATTTTTCAAGTCATTGTCTGCCGTGAACAAAATATAATTCAGTGCGTCGTATAAATTCTTTATTTGTTGCAGCTGTAATTTGATCATCAGTCAGTTGATTGCATACTGCTGTTATTTTATTATTTTATCTTTTAAAGATTTAGTTCAGCATTTACGTTAGGGTAATACAAATCAGAGACTTATTTTTTTTACATAGTTGATGATCGATTTAGCCGAAAATCCATTAATTTTAAATTCAATATTATGGACAGATGAATCTAAGTTCACAAATAATGGTGTTATTAATAAACAAAATAACCGTTATTGGAATAATCAAATCCACATTAGACATTTGAAATCAATAATCAAACTGTTTGGGGAATAAACGTTTAGTGTGGTTTAATTGGTAGTAAATTGCTTGGTCCATTTTTTTTATGATAGAACATTCAATGGTAGACGATATTAAAATTTTTTATTAAATCAATTACCGATGATGCTTGATGATATTCCTTTAGCTCTAAGAGAAAATATTATTTTTCAACATGACGGTGCTCCAACATACAATGCTCACATAGTTGGCGATTATTTTAATGCACAATTTCTAAATCGATGGATAGGAACTTATGGACCCATTGAATGGCCACCACGATCACCTAATATTTGCCACAAGATTTTTTTTTATGTGATCACTTAAAAACAATAGTGTATGCCGTCCTCCTATAAATCTTCAAAATTTAAAAGATAAAATAACAGCAGCATGTAATCAACTGATTGATGATCAAATTATAGCTGCAACAAATAAAGAATTTATACGACGCACTGAATTATATTTTGTTACTACTGGACAATGACTTGAAAAATTTGTATGTTAAATTAATTAATTACTTAATAAACTTATAACTTAAATAATAATTGAATTTGTTATTAATCATTAATACATCCTAATAGATTCATTAAATGTAATGAAATAAACAACATACTTATTTACGTTTTTAAATACACTGTATATAGATGTTTTTGTTGGAAAATGCAACATATGGTAAATAAAATAAAAAATATCACATTAAATATATTCAAGTCTTGGTAAAATTTAAGTTATTACATGGAAGTAACTTGAAAATAATTTGTTGTCTAGCTCCGGGTATAACATAGTTTTACAATATTTTTTTGTTAGTATATATTCAAAAGTTTAGTGAAATATTTGAAACAGACAATCGAAAACATAATGAAAAAACACGAAGTTCAACAAGTAACTATATATCATATCATATAATATTTATATTATCTACCAACACCAAATAAAATAAACATTACATTATATTTCTATAACCCTCGGCATAAGGAAGTTGTTATAAGCTCTAGAACTAAAGTAGTAGTGCATTTTTTGTATTTCTTATCATTTGTTTTAAGTTGGTATGAATTTGTGTTCACTTACTTTTTTTCTTATTATGAGTTGATAGTATTATCAAATCTTGTATAGTAATATACTTAATATACAAACTATCAATAATATTTAAACAATATTGAAAGTTTAAAATCGTCCACAAAACAACTAGTTACAATTTCCGTCTGCATTGAAAGTTTCTCCAGACGGGCTAAATATTGTTTGTGTAACCGAATCAGGCCTAAAAAATATTTTTAAGGAATTTAAGAAAAAAATTAGTTTAAAAAATAGTTTATTAAATGAGATCAAAGAAATACAGGTTTAGAAATAAGTAATATTATGTTTACTCGTTTAAGTAAAAAATAAAACTCCAACCGTTTAAAAATATTATTTTTTAGAATGTAATATTTTTCACTCTGTATAATATTATCGGAAATCGAGATTCGCAATTATAAAAAAATATAAAAAATATTTTACTATGGTGAAAAGTGTAATATAAAATCTTAATTTGTTAATTGAGTTATTTTCATAAACCTTTTTTTCTATTTTGTTTGATTTGTTAAAACTGTCATAAACTATTTTTACGAAGTTAATTAACTAATATAATTGATTGTATGTCACAAACCAAACACAATTATCTGAAATGAACCGATTTAAAAATTGATAATCAATTTTCATTTACCAATCTGTTTTAATTACACATCTTGCATATTGTAGTTTAAATATAAATAAAATTATTAGATTTTTAAATTTTTCTTTAATAATAGAAAATTATAATATATAATATACATTAAAAAATAAATATTACATTTCATAAATTTGAAAAACTACTATTTGTTAGAATGGTAATAACAATAATTTCTAAAAATGTGAGCAAAGAAAAAAAATAATGCATGTAATATAATATACGAGCACGTTAATGTAAATTTATATTGTATAGTTAGAATAAAAATATCGTTTATGAATAATATAAAATAATACAATGAATTCCCAGTGTTAATAAAGAATCAGTGAAAAAAAAATTAAATATTTTTAATATCATCGTCAACATTTTTTAATTTAAATAAAAGACTACATTATAGTTAGATAAATTGATTACTAACTTCACTAAAAATCTAAAAAATGCGACTATTTTCTAATTAACAATTTATCTGATCTATAAACACGTATAAAAGTGAGATATTATATTTAAATTAGTTTAAAAAAGTTTAAACTAATAATAGAAAAAAATATTTATAAACAAACCCAAAATATATATATCTGACTAAACAGTATCAAGACAGCGTGGACTAATAATAATTGTAATTTAATAACGTTTGAAAAAATGTTCGATTGTGCTCATTTTTTCGGTTAATATACAACTGAACTATCTATAATTATTTATATTTTTTCAAAATAATATTATACATTTTTATTATAAACAAAAATAATGTGAATGAAAATAAATTAAAAAATAATTTAACAACTTTTTTAGTTTAAGTTTAGGGCTACACTATTTAAAAATGTACATACTATGTTTATATTAATATTTTAGTTTGATAAACTGTTGAGTGAATCTATAATATTTCAAAATAAAAAGTATAAAGTTAGTGTTGTATATCATTAAGAAACGATTGTTTTTACCTAATTTAAATATGGAAAAAACATTGTGATAATTTTTTATATATTATTCTAAAAATCGATCAATTAAAAGCATATACAAATTTGAACAAACAGAAGAGTAAATGCTTCAATAGTTTTGAAAACCGAACGTTTGGACAATTTTTCTTACTATTTTATATGTTATTGTAACTTACGTATTATTAGAAATATAGAACTATCATCGTACCTAGTATCTAGTTATATGATTTTAGATTAAAAATAAATTAATATTTTAAAAAATTGAGTAAATGTATGAAATATATATATAATGTATACATTTATCATTTTTTCATTGATACAAATATTAATTACATATTTTTCAAATTTATTTTGATGATAATTGAAATAAATATCATAAAAGATTAATAACATAATCTTACAATTTTTTCAAGATTTCCTGTACTTATTGTTTCATCCACATTATTTTTGAGGTATACTTATTATACTACGATATCAATCCATTTATCTTATTATATGATAATAAACTAAAATTAGCTAAATTATTTGTTATAGATAAAAAAAAATGATTAGGCCATTGGATGCAACATCACACAGCAGATATAATTTATAAATTATTAAACACTTAAAAAAAATTCAAATTAATCACGATAAATTATCAAAAATAATCATTTTTGTTCGTTTGTTTTTTAGAGGAATTTAAAATTGAAATACAATGTGTATCATTATTTAGAGAACTACGTAAATACAAATAAAACATTTTAAATTAAACTTAACGTTTACACTTGAAAGTGATGATGAAAACACTGTTGTCTTATTTAATTACTTTTTATGGATCTTTGGTTCACTTAATGTTCATACAAAGGTAAAATATGTCCCTGACACGTTAAGAATTAACAGGATTTAAAATCAAATTATTTTTTTATCAGAAATAAGATGAAGAATAATTTTGAGAAAACTTTTTTAAGTTAATTATGCATCGTATTATTACATTTTCCTAAGCGTAAAAAAATGAAATCTCTTACGATATATTCAAAACATTTTGATATTTTCTAAATAACCAAAATCAAATGATTTTAGATATAATTCAATGTACAGAGACTGACGTTATATAATTATAATTATTGTATATTTGAAAATTTGAAATATGTATGTTTTCCATGTTAGAATAAAAAGATGTAACAAATATAATAGTCAAGTTATAAATCAAACAAATATCTTCAACACTTATAAAATATATTTATATTTTTATTCCAATAATTTCAAAAATGTCAAAAATGATATCAAGAAATGTATTATTTAAGCTGTTGAAGAAACTGAAAGTCTGAAGGCGGAATTCGACATTTTATGTACATACATAAAATACGATTTACTACACTTTAAATAGATCTATAATCAATCAATAAATACACAAAATTCACGCAGACAATAAATACGATATAATATTATGTAGTATATCTATCATAATTATAACATTTTAAAAATTGGTTGGTAATTATTCGATAGAACGACTTTCTGTGAAAAATATTTATAAATTGTCGTTAATAATATTACATTGCAACACTATGAATTAGACTAACAAGTATATGTGTATCGGTTGTTTTCTGGTAACTTAAACGTGTCTTTGCGATAACTTATATTTAAACCAGATGAGTTTTAGACTTTTGGTAGTTATTTGAATCCAATGATTTATTTATAATAATATACAATAACATCGCAAAAATATAATACGACGTATAAGAGTGAAAAAAAATACAATAAACAATATACAAAAATATATAAATTAAACAATTTTAAGGTGTAAGCAAAGCAATTCCAATCCTAAGTACTCAGCTTTTTCTTGATCGTTTGTAACACGCATATAAACACAAAATTAAGTACGGTTGTGTATAATATAAACCTACTAATATGTATCTAATACCACCTATTTGTGTATTATAGGTAAAACTAATTAACTGAACGAGTTATAGTATTAAAAAAAAATATAACATTATCGTTACGAATGTCAAATGACGAACATACTCACCGATCACGTACGAATAACCGTCCATCGTGAGCACGCACCTCTTGGTATTGCTTGGTAATCGTGAGATGGGCACCTGTACCATTTGATCTCTGTACCGCGGTTCGTTACCGACCATCAACAACGGTAACATGTCCTCGTCGTTTATCTGCATGGCGGTCTCGGTCTGGTCGTCGGCGGTTTGCCATTCTAATGGAAACTCGTCAGCGATTCGCTCTTCTCCCGACCAACTGACGCTGATCGTCTTCTGCTCACCGGTACGATTGCCGGCCAATCGCCCGTCCACGGGCACGGCACCAAGACTGTTTGGACCTTCGCGACCTTTGCTGTTGCTAGAGACACAGTCGTCTACCGGGACGTGGTCTTCAAGACCGCCGACTAAGCTTGGACTGTGGTGGTCATCGGTGCGATCGTCGGTTGCCGGGCGAACGCCACCGCCGAAAGTGCTCATGTTTTTCTCTCCGTCAGCGGTCTGCACGGTTTGTGCGCGGTCGACGACGCCAGCCGACTTCTCCTCCATTCGGTCCATTGGACGAGAGAGAGAGAGAGAGAGAGAGAGAGAGAGTGAGAGAGAAAGAGAAAAAACACTAAACCGGCTACGACCACAGATATACCATACGAATACACTGTCGTGACTTTGCGATTAATGTGCGCTCATCGATATCAGTAGGTAGTGTCGATTATTAGATAATTTATATTTTTATTGTCTGTTTGCTGTTTAATCGTTTGAAAACTGAAAAACGGTTATCTGGCGACCACGACGACGACGACGTCTGTAATAGCTGCGAGCAGGTGGCAGAGTCGCGTGTGGTATACGGTGTGTGTCGCTGATCGAGTGTCGCGAGCGCACTGCCTGAGGCGTCGGTGGTTGCTGCTGCTGCTGGACGGAGGCGCGCGCGGAATAGGAGGCGGCGGGCGGTCCGAGTGCGCGCGCGGGCGCGGACGACGGCGGCGGCGGCGGCGATGACGACGACGACGACGACGACGAAGCGCCTCGTGCGTATTATAATTACGGCACACACTTGGAATAATATAGGTATTCCGCGATAACAGTAATAAAATATAATAACGCGTAATAGACGGACCGAGGTTAGGTTATCTCGTCGATATATTATTATTATGTGTTATTCGTTTGGTCATTCGTCATCGACGAGAATATACCACCCGAAGAAGAGCACCAGCTTCTTGTGGTAAAACCGACGTCGTAAAAATGCGTTCGTCTTGCCACGCGTCCAATAATAAGACGTGTACGCGATAGTAATATATCGTTGTTTGGTGTAGTGTCCGCGGGCATCGGCTTTGTGGTTTTCCAAAAAATATACGTAATATTCATGCGATCGACTAAAAAAAAAAATATTATAACACGACTACCTACGTACTTATAATAATAATAATAATAATAATAATAATAATAAACGATCGGATTGATAAACCCGTTTTAATAACGACTGTTGCGCACCGCCCTCGACACGATGTGGATCTACGTAGCCGATACGGCTGTAGCGTATTAGATATATATTGAAATAATAATAATAATAATAAAAATATGCTCTAAATACCTAACCTACGCGAATATACGATAAAATAATAATAATGATAATACTATCATGTCCTGAGGCCATCGAATAATGTTGCGGCGTCCGTCGCTGATTTTTATTCGTCGGTGACAATAATAGTTATACATCGCATGGCAATAACTACTAAGTAATAACCGTTTACAGCGGACCGATGCCGGGGCACTTGTTGATCGGCGAGCACGATGATGATATAATATTATTATACACAAGCCTGTAACTATAAACATAGAGAGAGAAATTTCACGATTTATTTAACAATACATATTATAATATACTTAGTATCTTGGTCAATCATTTTCAATCATTTTTATTGTTAATCGTATTTTATTTTTTTACCGATATTTATTATAATAAATATTATTATCGTTGTGTAATATCAGATAAAAAATAATAATTATCGATACTATATTTTTAAATATTTTTTTTTAAATAATATACATGATACAAAGTTTAAACAGTATGTTTTAACTGACAATTCTAAATGTCATCTCTAAAGTAATTGAAAAAGATAATGATAATTTTATTTTTTCGACATTTTATTGCACTTTAAATGTTTTTGACACGAATTATACAATAATGTTCTATGCTATTAAAGTATTAAATTGATAATGATATAATAATATTAAATATTACATTGCTGACAATAACATTGACAGTAGCAAATTATTGCATTCCTATACGTATATGTATAATATTATCGATGATCAATTTGAAAATATCTAAAAATCATTCTGATTTTAGCTTTAGAAAATATTTTATCCAAAAATGATGTTAGATATTTCTAATTTATACATGTTTCTACAACAATTAATAAAATATAGTGATGAAAACCATTTTAAATACTATGTTTCATGGTTATGATCAGTAGTTGAGAAACAATGTTCTTTGGATACGATTTCGCTGAGTGATTGTATTAGATATCAAAAGTGCATTAGTAAGACATCTAACCAGTAATAATCATTTAATTTTAAAGATAAAAAAAAAACAACGTCATGACGATATTGTTTTGTTTCTGAAAGAGTTTCTGTGCATACAAAATTAATACATAATAAGGTTAATTTTAAAAAGTAATTTTTTATCGTATTTCAAAATTCACGTTTTCATTTAGGTTTATTACTCTCAGTATGTATACTATAATAATTAGTTGGTAATAAATATATAGCATTGTAAAATTTAGATAATAAAAAACTTCTGTCGTATGTTTTTTTTTTTTTTCATAAATTATGTTCATAATACGTTTAGTAATAATGCTTAAACATTATTGGTTTATATGTATTATACAATATAGTGTTATAATGGTAAATGATAATTTATAACAGTTTTTGGTATATTCTAAATAGGTATCTGTATCATTAAAAATACTCTTCCATCGAAATATAGTGACAAGAAAAGAAAATTATTTAAGATAAAAATACAAAAATATAAAATCATAACCAGTCTACATTTTTTTTTTTTTTACGTAATATATTGTGTAAGTTGTACTTTGTATACGGCGGATTGGATAGGCAAAATAGGTACATTAAAATGTGAAAGTAGGTACTTAATATGTACTCAAATGTTTGTATTTGTTCGCACTTATTGAATACGTAATTATTAATGTGAAAAATCCATAGCTTATTTTAAACAATTGTTTAACTACAAATTTTAAATAAATAATAAAGAAAAAAAATTGACATTTTATTGATACCAAACGCATAGAACGCGAAACTATATATTATAATTAAAATGTAATAAATGTATTGAACAACCACATTCTCAAATCAATAAACATAAAAATATTACACACCTTCGATAATTATATTAAAATGACACGAAAAGCTTTACAAATGTATCAATTAATAATATAACGTAAAACATCGGTGTGTTTTATAAGAAGATACGATAAACGTTTTTATTTTTTTTTGTTTGAACAAACGTAATATAACTTGATTATAGAAGATAAGTAATTCTACGTAAGTGATATTATTGTAATAACTACTGTAAGTGAAATCGATAACGATTTAATTTAATAGTGGCATTACTGACAATTGTTGTTGAATAAAAAAAAATCAATTTTACAAGTCATACTACGTAATTGGTTTTTTATTTTAAAAATATTGCATAAAATATTTTGTATACATATTTTTTAGCATAACAATTGTCGTTTACAGAAATAAGGATTGTGAGGAATTTGTGATTTTACATGGTTATTAAGGATTAGATGATTATTGTAAATACAAACGACAGTTTAATTAAATTAGGAGTAGGTTATACAAATGGAACGAAATAAAAAGCTTTAAATGAAAAAAAAAATATAAAGTAATGATAAATTAATGATAAATTAACTAATTCCATAGATAACGCGCGTCGTATCGCATTCCAAAAAATTGAGACAATATTGCCGTGATGTGTTGAGTTTTGTGTCGAAAATTATACGTTTTCGATAAAATTAATATAATTTATGTAATATATAAAGCGTAAGATGATAAAAACTACTGAAAATTATATGTATATTTTACTCGAAGAACATTTTGCTGCAAGGTATTGCGTGCTAAAAGTTGCAACTGTGAAACTTTTCAGACGTTTAAGTAATACGCAGTCTCGTGCGAAATATACGGTGAAAGTATGGTTTACAATTAGTTGGATAGTTGCCAATGTCTAATTGAATAGTTTAATTTGTTTTAAAAGTAATATTCACATGTTTGGTATAAATTGTCCATCAATTACAGAATTAAATTACCACGTATACATATAGGTACATAGGTAATTTATAAATACCTTAATTTATGCCGCAATATGCGTATGCACATGTCTTACTATTACTATATATATACTCAAACAATAGCTAGCTTATGGAACGTGCGTGCGCGTGGTGTAATGACAAAAAGAACGAACAGATATAATAAATATAACATTTAAAAACAATTTGAAAGATTAGTATCTATTCTATAATATGATCTGCATTTGACGGAATGAATTTGTATATGTCATAATAGATACGCAACTGCTACAACAAAATAGGTAATTATAATATGATGATAATGTCTGTTGAAACAAATTAATACATTTTGCCTGGACAGAGAATTTCAAAAACAGAAACTCCAAATGAACCTACGCAATTTAATATTATTATATTGTGATAATTGGTATAAGATTCAAATTATTGTCGGTTTACGGATTGAACGGCTTTAATGAAATCTAATGACATTATCCTTTAGATCGTTTATGACGTAAATGACAAATGAATAGTTATTATTTTGCCAATTAAATTGTAATTTATTTATTTTACTGCTTTTACTAAACATTCAAATTATTCAAATTGTCATTCTAATATTTTCAATATAATATTGTTAAAGAAAATATTACGCAAAACAAAAAGTAATTATACTTAAATTAATTTTATAAATTAAAAATCCTGTACATTTATTTATTGTTTTTCATGTTTATGTTCTACTGAAACCTCTAGATTTAATCTTTTAAACGATATAAAAACAAAATTAGCTAGTAAATCAGATACCACCCAATTATTTAGGGTTTACTCTAATTTTATTCACTTTATATGAACAATATTGACATAGATTATAATATATAACTTGTATTTGGTAAAAATAAGAATGTAAAATATATTCTTGATATCAATACAACAATGATGTGATGAGTCTAGAAAAGAGAAATTCAAGAAACCATCTAAATTGTAGATATTATTTTCTGATCAAATTAACTTTAAATAATAAAGAAATTATTATCAATCAATATTTCAATTAAAAATTAATTTTAGTTATTGAATTAAAAAAAAAAGACTCAATATGCTTATGTAATTGTTTTTACGTTAATTTATTCAAATATATGAGGATAATAATTACTTTTGTAATAACATGTTATACAATAATTAGGTCAAAAGTTAATTTTCTTAATTTTTCTATTGAAAATAAAATAATTTATCTGACTCTGAGGTTACCTAATTACCTAATTTTTTATTGAATTAACATTATGAACTTAAAAAAATAATGTCATTTCTATCGTCACTTCCAGTTTTTATCATACATATTGCCTTGCCTTTAAATAAAGTTAAACATCAATAAAAAACAAATTGAATAATCATAATTATTTCGAGTGTTTCATCGCGAATAATTATTGCAATTTATTTTTTCAGAAGTCCTTTTTTTTTAATTTCTCAAAAATATTACTTGTAAAAATTAGAAAATTTTACCATAATATTATTATATTTTATACAATAATATTTTTACGATATTAAGATTTATTTTATGCCTATTGAAAA